TACTGCATCTGGCAGCACAGTTTGGGGAGGAGGTGAGAAGCCAACAGTGGCGAAAGAACAGGTTAGAGACTATTTGTAAAAGCTGGATGTGTACAAGTCCATGGGGCCAGATGGGATACACCCGTAGGCACCAAGGGAATTGGCTGATACGACTGCAGAGCTGCTAGTCATCATCTTTGAAAACTCACAGCTATCAGGATAGGTCCCCGATGATTGGAACATAGTGCCCATATTTAAGAAAGGGAAAAAGGAAGATCCAGGGAACTACAAAGCAGACAGCCTCACCTCAGTCCCTGAAAACACTGTGAAGCATATCCTCAAGGAATCCATTTCTAAGCACTTGGAGAAGGTGATTAGGAACAGCCAGCATGGATTCATCAAGGGCAAGTCACGCCTGACCACCCTGATTTCCTTCTATGATGAAATGACAGGCTCTGTGGATGTGGGGGAACCAGCAGATGCGATATACCTTGATTTTAGCAAGGCTTTAGATATGGCTTTCCACAACATTCTTGCAGGCAAGCTAAGGAAGTATGGGCTAAATGAATGGACTGTAAGGTAGATAAAAAAAAATGGCTGCCAGTATCGGCCTCAGAGGGTAGTAATCAATGGCTCAACGTCTATTTGGCAGCCGGTATCAAGTAGAGTGCCCCAGGGGTCAGTCCTCAGGCCGGTTTCGTATTATATCTTTATCAATGACCTGAAAGATGGCATAGAGTGCACCCTTATTAAGTTTGCAGAACACACCAAGCTAGGGAGAGTAATAAATTGGCTGGACGGTAGGGCTAGGATTCAGAGTGACCTAGACAAACTGGAGGATTGAGGCAAAAGAAATCTCATGAGGCTCAACAAGGACAAATACAAAGTCCTGCACTTAGGATGGAACAATTCTGTGTACCAGTACAGGCTGGGGGCTGACTGGCTGGGCAGCAGCTCTGCAGAGAAGAACTTGGGGGTTACAGTGGAAAATAAGCCGACTACGAGCCAACATTGTTCCCTTGCTGCCAAGAAGGCTAACGGCATCCTGGGCTGCATTGGTAGGAGTGTTGCCAGCAAGTCAAGGGAAGTGATTATTCCCCACTATTCAGAACTGGTGAGGCCACATCTGGAGAACTGTGTTCAGTTTTGGGCCCCCCGCTACAGAAAGGATGAGGACAAACTGGAGAGAGTCCAGTGGAGGGCAACAACATGAGGGGGCTGGGGGACATTACTTCTGAGGAGAGGCTGAGGGAACTGGACTAACTTAGTCTGGAGAAAAGACTAAGGGGATTTAATAGCAGCCTTCAACTACCGAAAGTGGGGGTTCAAAAGAGGATTGAGCTAGACTGTTCTCAGTGGTGGCAGATGACAGAACAAGGAGCAACAGATCTCAAGTTGCAGCAAGGGAAGTTTAGGTTGGATATTAGGAAGAATTTTCTCACTAGTAGGGTAGTAAAACAATGGAACAGGTTACCAGAGAGTTTGTGGACTCTCCATCCTTGGGGATTTTTAAGGCCTTGCTAAACAAAGCCTTGGTGGGGATGATCTAGTTGGGGCTGGTCATTCTTTGAGCAGGGGGCTGGGCTAGATGACCTCCTGAGGTCATTTCCAAGCCTTATTTTGCATGATTCCATAAATGCAGTAGGTATTTTTGACCCAAGTCTCTTCGCCTCAGGTCACCATGTGTACAATAGGGATTATATAAACCCATCCCTGTAGAGGATTAAATCAATGTTTGTGAAGCACCTGCATACTATAACGATGAGCACCAGGAGGAAATTAAGAACAGCACAGTAAACAAAACCTGAGGCAGCGTGTTGAAAAACAAAGAGAAAACAACACATTGAACAGTTGCTCAATTAATTCAGTACTGTCCATCCTGCGCACTAACAGAGACAAAAGTCCTTTGGAAAAATGGTGTAGAAATAACATAATTCAAGATTATTGTAACACACACAAGGGGGCCAAATTCAGTTGCACAAACAACTTTAATTCTGTTTTTCCTTAGTGTCTGATTTTTTTATCTTTAATATTATTCTTGTAATATACAGCATGAATCACCTTACAAGTTTGGGGCAGAGGAAGAGAGCGGTGAACTGTGGGATACTGAAGGTCCTAGAGAGCTGTGGAGCACTATGTGCAGGCGTTATACTTAGTGCTACAAAACTGAAAAGGTCCTCTTTGAAAGAGGTACTATTTTGTAATGTTTTCACCACTTTGGTAGCCTACAAATAGCTTGGAGGGCTGTATACTCACTTCTATGAGGGTATATTTTGCACTAAAAACATAATGCCTATACAATGCTTAAAACTGTTCCAATGCATTCTAATCTATGAAATAAAAAAGGTTTTTCTTTTTTGTGTTTGTCAATCCTTGTATTTTCATGTTCACTAGCCTTTTTACAGAGAATAAGTCACAGAAACATTAGGGAAAAATACTACATTTAAAAAACTGGCCAGGGCATCAAAAGAAAATAGCTCAAGGAATTTTCTTCCATTTTGTATCATTTTTCATTATCAACAAAACCATGCATTTGATTTATTTACAGATGAGCAGATTCCAGCCAGAGAGAGAGATCAGTTCAGCTTTCTGAACTGAATTTCATCTGTCCAAATTTCCCATAGCTGAACAATACGAGTTTGCTGGACACAACAAGGTCTTGAACCATGTTCTTAATATTGTCATGTGTAGTCTAATGGAAATCTAGTGTACTATTCATAGCGGTAAAGTTAATCACATGTACTTCTGCAGGATGGGATCTCTACATTCAATTTCTTGAAACCAAGATTGCCAAATTTAATCTATTTAATAAAAAAAACACTGCTTAGCTGGTCTTCGCCTTTTCATGTTCATTTTATTTGCATAACCTGAGAACAGATTTTCATGAGAGTTCTGCAAGGAATGGTTTTCATTTTCGGACCTTAAAACAACCAGAAATTTAGGAGCATTCAGCACCTAGAAGCTTCCATCAAGTGTAACAGTAGCTTATGGGGAGTGAATACTTTTGGAAGAATCAGGCTTCAACACAGCGCTGTGCTGGACAACAGGTTTTACCATAATAATTCTGCGCAAATCTGCACTTATGTTAGGGTTACCATACGTCCAGGTTTTCTCAGACATGTCCTCTTTTCTGATCCTCTGATCTCCATCTGGGCAGGCTTTTTAATTTAATCAAATGCCCAGGATTTTGCTCAGCTCAGCTGTGAGAGGGGAGCAGGTGCCTGCCAGTACTGGTAGAAGCTGTTCAGGCACCTGGGCTGCAGTCAGAAAATGCTTGGCCACCTGGGGGCAAAGGAGATGTCCCCCCAGGGTCTTAGTACCTATCAAGTTTAGTTTAGTTTCTCTGCCTCAGCACAGAAGGCACTCCCACAATCCTAGCACCTGCCTTTTTCCATCTATTCCTCTTGCAGCAGCATTTGATCAACATGGGGTGTGGGACTGCAACTTGTGGAGGGGGCTGGGTTGTAGGCAGCAGCCCACTATGTGAAAAAGGTTGCAGGGATGGGGCAGCTGGGAGACAGGGAGCAAGGGGCTGTTGGAAGTGAGGGGCTGGGGACTGTGGGTCCAGAGTGTGGGGCCCAGGGCTGCAGGGCAGGAGTGAGAGACACCAGCAGGGATAGGGGAAGGGGGGCTGTGGGCTGGGAGTAAGGGGCACCAGCATGGCCCAGGGGGGTAGGATGCAGGTTAGGAGTGAAGGGCATTGGCAGGACTAGGGGTCCCGAAGTCGGGAGTGAGGGGCCGCAGCAAAGCTGGGAGTCTGTGGCTTGGGAGTGAGGGGCAATGCAAAGGGCAGGGCCAGTGCACAGTCATATCACTGCCTCTCACAATCATTTCACCCCCATGTGCACGCGCAACAGGTGTCCTCTTTTTTGGAACTGGAAATATGGTAACCCTAGCTTATGTTGCATGCCTTGGTTTCTTTCTGGCTAACTTATACAGGGAGGAAAGAGTGGGTTAGAGCAGCGGTTCTACCAATCTGTGGTATGGGTACCACCAGTGGTATGCAGACAACCCGTCAGTGGTACATGTTAACAGATTGATTATAATTACTTTACATGACAAAAATTTGCTGGTGGTACTTAAGATTGTATCATTTTAAACTGGTGGCGTACAATCTGTCAGAGTTTGGAAACCACTGAACTAGAGAGACAAAGCAAGAGATCTGTCTACCCATGAGACAACATGGACCTCTAACATACAAAGCCTTGAATAGCTTTGTTGATATATCAACCAAGTCAAGATGGCACACACCTAGGAGACTGGGAGGAAGCTGAATACCAGAAGCATTATAACGATGGAAAGGGGTGTGTTAACAACAGCTTGTCAGATACTTGGATAAATATCTGGAGTCAGAAATCAAGAGAGGAGCTCTTAGGGCTTCAAGGTCTGGAAAGACTAGAAAGAGAACAGCTCTGGCTGTGTGGGCTGGACTGGAGACAGGAACTGCATAACCCTTTGAAGACGGAAAAAGAACCTCAGACTGAGGGGCCTTTGTCCCAGTAATTGATTTTATTGAAGCAGAGCTGTCTATTTATTGCTTGAAACTTCAGGTTGCCCTGGGTCTCCTCATCATCAAGAGCTAAAGTCCCTTTCTGAAGCAGAAGTGGATTCTAGCTCCTAGAGTTAGGGCCATGGACAACCAGGTAATGTGAGGGACTAAAAGGACAGGGTCTCAAAGTGGGAAGGAGCCTGGACTCCCCCACCTGCTCTAGAAGCCATACCTGGGCTGGCTTTGGGGGACTCTCAGAGACCCAACAAGGCTGAAGTGGTCTTGAGCAACCACTTCCCTGGAGGGCACTTTGTGACATATCTATACTTCTTCACTACATTTTCTTTTTTGACCCACAGAAACATCTCAGTTAATGGCTAGCTCCACATTCTTTGAGAACTAGTTAGAAGAGAAAACTCTATCAGATAACAGAGGACAAATTATGTGCATTTTGTTACTTGGTATTTGCTTTTCTACGAAAATGATGATTACAATAAGCTGTATTTTTAGATTTCACACCCCTTAGACTCACCAGTCAGGGCTCCTCCAAGACTTCCTCTTCTAAGCTGTTTGCCATCTTCACTCAGCTTTCTCTTAAATTTAAAAGACTTTCCAGACCCAGAAGATACTTCTGGATTGCTGGATTTCCGAAATGACATAGAAGGAGGTGATAATACATGATCAAGCTGTGAAGAAACAAAAAGATGCATCATTAAGAATTCATTCTGCATTAGAGGAGGAAAAAAAAAAAAAAAACCAAAACACATCTGCCTGAGATTGTACTCCCCCTATCATTATGCTTTAAAAAAAAAAAAAAAAAAAAAAAAAAAAAAAGCTTTCAAGATGTAAGAACATTACATTTGAAAAGACCACATAATTCATTTAACATCCAAGCTGCAGCATTGAAGTGTCAGGAAATGCCTGATTTATTGCTGTCCATGTAATAAGTCTAACATTTTTGCATGTGTTATGATACAGTCTTCTATATGCAGTATACAACTCCCTTGCCACACACCTCTCCCTCCCCAATAGCTGCCTCATTCAAGGTACAAAATGGGACTTAGAGAGGCATAATAAAGGTTTTTTATGGACCTTCTCCACAAAGTTCATTTCATAACTTCAAGTGAGTTGACTATCCAACCCGAATAACCTTTTCCCCCCCTGCACAAATTATGTACGGCGTCATGTAAACAGCCACCAGATGGCAGCACATCATAATCAACACAAAGCTGTATGTTTCAAGTTAAGAAACCTCTTTAAAAAACAATACCTAAACAGATACTTAAAGATCTGCTGAAACTGGAAAAAAATATTCTATTTAAACATATTTCTTTCATAGGCAAATAATATATTTATATATTATATAATAATATATAAATATATTATATTTAATTCACAGAAAATATAAAAACACAAAAATTCTAGTATTATTCAGAAGATGTTTTCCCTTTTTTTCTACACTTAACTATATTCTGCTACTTGTGATGACATATCTGATTAATATGGAGATTTCACAAACAGGCAACAGAAAACAGGTGGGCAAAAAAAGGTGGAACACTTGCACAAAAATACCTATCTCCAGAAAAAAGTTAAAAGGATTCAGAAGTAAGAGTGAAATAAAGAAAAAAAATTACAACTTCAGTAACATATGTGAGGTTGACAAGTACTTGTGCAATCACTAATAACATTTAGCAACATGCATACTACTCGTAATATATTTCATTTCTTAATCCTATTACTTGTGATAGCTTTGAAAGCATTTTATTACAACAGCGCAAAAAAATCAACAGCAACAATTCAGACACTAATTTTCAGATTTATGCTGTTTTATGTTTTCTAATTTCTCAGCCACCCGAAAGTCCGTGTGCTTACGAAGTTCATTATCAGGTCATCTGCAGGACAGAGTCAGAGAAGGCACTTCAGCATTTTTCTGGTCAGGATAACATTTTGGAAATTGATTCATTTATAATTCTCACAGAATGTACTTCCCTGAATACGGATTCTTTCCTGACTTGTGGCCAGGTACAGAACTTGGTCCTTATTTGTAAGTCCTGTACTTATGCACGATACCCAGCAAAATCATTTAGTAGGTAAGATCCCTGCCTTGAGGAATTTACAATACAAACCAAATTAAAAAGGAAGCAATGAAAACAAATGGGGTGAGGGAGATCCTCTTGCCTACAAAACTTCTGATGACCAAAAAGTATTAAAGCAGGAAAGCTACTAACAAGATACTTAAAGATTTTAGAGTAACTTAACTATTTCTTCACAAATGACAGGTTACTGATTGCAAGATGATGCATCTGTATTGAATTCAATAGGAATTCAAATTGAACAAAGATTCTCTCTTTATATCTAATGTAGCTCTTCTTTATATAGATTCATGCCACATACTAACTGGCTAAGTTTTATGGTTGCACTTCCTTATACAATAAAATCAAAAGTGGAACAGTTCACACAGATTGATCTACCCAATTTGGAAATCAGCTCTGAAACATAACTGAGTTTTCCCTCAACTTTTTAAAGTTCACAGCTAACTCTAATTGGTGCCATTTCCAGGTAACATATGATGATAAAATACCTGTTTGTTCTGGGATATCGTAATATCCCAAACAAAATATTTAACAGAATCATACAAAATCTTGTATCTGGCCTATGTTTGCTGTGGCCATCTAACTAGCTTTAGAATTCTACATCTCCAGTACTAAATAACAATCCAATTTCTACCAAACTACAACTCAAACTTCTAACTTGACATACCCAGGTAATAATTACCAGTAGAGGTGCACTGATGCATCCATCCGATATTGGATCAGTACCAATATTGTATTGGAAATCAACCGGATGCAGCCAATAATTTGGCTGATAAATGCTCATGCAGGGAGGCAGCGAGGAGCACAGCCCGGCAGCATGGAGAACTGCATGCAGCTGGTAAGTCTGTTGTGGTGGAAGGGTAAGGAAGAGGTGCGAGGGGGGTGCAGATCAATGCGCCCCCCCCCCCAGTGAGGGAGGGGATGGGGCGTGGGACTGAGCCGCAGCTTGGGGGGGGGGAGCTCCCACCACTGCTTGCACCTCGGGAGGAAATGAGTGGGGGGCGTGTGCCTCCAGATCTGCATGGGGCAGGGCAGGCAGGCTGTAGCTGCAATCTGGAGCCGGGGCTGCTCTGGGCTCTTCTAGGCGGGGGATGGGCTTGGAACGGGAACTACAAAGGGGGTGCAGCCACCCCAGATTTCACCGTAGCCCCACTCCCAGCACCAGCGCCACCTGCCCAGTGCAGCCCTGGCTCTTCCCAGTGCATGGTTGGAGGCAGGGTGTTGAGCCATGGCTGCGTTGGGCAGGCAGTGGCAGCAGCGCTAGGAGCAGAGCTATGGCAAAATTTGGGGTGGCTGCAGCCCCCTCCCAGAGCCCCCGCCCTGAGCCATGCCCCCACCAAGAAAACACCAGAGCAGCCCTGGCCTCGATGAGCCACAGCTCCATCCCACACTCTGCCCTGCCTCAGCTGGGCAGTGCCTGCCCCTGCTCCCTCCCTCCCTCATCGCAGGAAGCTTAGATCTGCTCCCCGCCATGCTCCTACCCTTCCACCACAACAGACTTACCAGCTGCCCACAGGTATATCAGAATTTGGATTGGTATCAGCCAACATGCCTCCTTTAAAAAAATTGGCTATCGGCCCCCAAAATCTCTGTCAGTGCACCCCTAATTACCAGATGTTGAAAAATCTCTCTCCCCACAGCACAATTTTTATTAAAGGACCACAGACAGAGCCCAAGCTGCAAACTATTCAGAACAAAAACAGAAAGGCTCACCTTTCAAATAATCCCTTTACCTGATTTTAAAAATTTAAAAGCTCCATGTTTTAAAAGTTGAAACAACAACTCCAGTGCCTCAGTGGAGTCCAGAAAAATAATTTTTTGTGCCTTCTAATTTCATGGTTTCATCAAAGTCAATGGCAAAATAACTTCAGGGATGACAAAATGTTACCCCATAGGAACAGGTACTACTAGTTAATTTATCTATGCTTTTATATATCTTAAACTTACAACTCTCATACTTCCATTTTTTACAATTTGGCAGTATTGCCACATCAAACTTCTCTTCCATTGTTGGGTGTTTTTTGTTCTACGGAAAATAGAGATTTTCTTCAGAGAAACAAGATGCTTTAGAAAATTATGAAGGATTGTTTTTGAGGAGAGAGAATAGGAGCTATTCATTACAACTACAGTACACCTCTTTGAAGGGAGAACAACTTCTGTGCTTCTCAGACTTCTAAATAAAAGTTTCCTTACAAATTTCACATTTCACTTCAAGCCAAAGTTGAAAGAGAATATGAAAAGTTTTTCTATCCACAGCAGAATATCTTTCCCCCTCATGCCAGGTAAAATGTTTGCTTCCAAGGAAGTACAGCCACCAACTGAGGAATGTTTTTAATAACTCCCGCTTTCCTGAAATGCTTCATTCATTCTGGAGATGTACAGTATGGATATTAAGTAGTCTGCTGTGTGCACAATTTTAAAATGGTGATTAAGGCAAATAACTATACATTCTGAACTATACGATGATTCACAAATAAGTTTTTCATATGCTTAAATTAGTAAAAGTAAAAGTACTGGAAATATGCACATCAATTAAATCCATTATATTTTGTTGTTTGGTTTCATGGAAACCTTAAAGCCACTGTAACAAGGTTCATATTCCAATAGCCAAAGGATATGAACAGCTGTCCAAACAGAAAGGTCAAAAGACAAAAGATCTGCTTTATTTTTAAACTGGGTCACAGAGATTTTACCAGTTTATAAGCACTCGAGTTTTTCTGCTCAGCACACAAGCCATACTCATTACTTCATAGCGGAGTACAGCCAAGTCCATATTCACATGAGACTTGCATCCTTGCAAAGTGCCTGGGAATGATATGATGCAGGGCTCTACTGATGCAGAATGAAACCAGAAAGAGGTATGCATAGCCACAGTGGTCAAGACAGGAGACTGGCCAGTAAGATGTCAGGAAAGAGAACCTGCTCCATAACAGAACTAATCCATGATAGAGAGAAAAAAAATCTTTGGTGAGTACACGTTCTTGAATAGTAAACAGTCATTCACAGGTTACAGGCATCAATGTAAAAAGACTGGAAAAAAAAAAAAAAGTAGGTAATGGATTTAGGTGGGAGTTAGAAATGGTAACAAATTATTTTACTTGTGTGACAACAGGAAAATCTCAACAGAAACAACAATTTTCATTGTGACTGCTATTTTGAGGAGTTCACTTTCTGAAACAGAAAATATCAAGGTTGTAAAATGGTTACAATCCAAATTATTTAAATAAATGAATGAATATTTGACTTCTCCGTATCTTGACCATACAGGCAGTTAACTAAGGCTCAGTTCATAGACTAAGCTAGACATATGCTTTTAGTCTAGCATCCCCAATTCAAAACTACCTTTGCTGTTAGATATTCCTATAAATACATACACTCTAATTTATGCAAAGGTGTGTTACTGTTGTTAAATACTGAAAAATGTCCTTATTAAAAACGCACACCTTAATAGGGAGGTGGGCAAAATACAGCCCACATGCCGGATCCAGCCTGCCAAGCATTTTCATTGGGTCCATGGAGCCCACCAACAAATTGTGCCCCACCCAGCCCTTTCACCAGCCAGGGTGGGTGCAAAGCGCCCAACGTGTACACTCACCAACCAAACATACACTATTGCCTCACTCCCACCCTTATGGGCGGAAGGGCCCGGCCTGG